GTTGAATCACAAAATAAATCTTATACATTATTATATTTGTAGATACTTGGCTATGGATGATTTACCATTATCAATAGCTATAGCATTTCGAATTGGAGAATCGACAGTTAGGAAAATAATAAAGGAAGTTTCTTTAGTATTGACTAAAGTTTTGAAACCACTATATCTTACCTTTCCTACTGAAGAAGATTGGAAAAAATGTGCAGATGGATTTTGGAAGCGCTGGAATCTTTCTAATTGTGTTGGATCTGTTGATGGAAAACACATAAGGCTACAGTGCCCTCCAAATTCAGGAACTTTATTTTACAACTATAGAAAATATTATAGCATTGTATTAATGGCAGTGGCCGATCATTTGTACAGATTCACGTTAGTTGATATTGGAGCCTATGGAGGTAAGCCTTAAAAATATTATTTAAAATTATTTACACTTTCACTAAATTAATACAACAAAAGCAAAATTATTTGTCCAATGTAACACAGGAAATAGTGACGGAGGAATTTTTAGTGATTCTCAAATAGGAATTAATCTAAATAATGAACAGTTAAATCTTCCAAAAAGAACTGTTAATCTTCCTGATAGCAATTTGAAAACATTTGAATTTTTCATTGCCGATGATGCTTTTAAGCTTTCAAATAGAATAATGAAACCCTATTCTGGTAAAAATTTGAGCGATAAAAAGAATATTTGTAACTACAGATTTTCTAGAGCACGCAGAACTATTGAGAGTGCTTTTGGTATTTTTGCTAATAAATGGAGAATATTTCACACAGCCATTTGTATGTTACCAGAAACTGCTGACATAATTGTAATAGCTTCTGTCTGTTTACACAACTATGTATTAAAAGAAGAACAACGCAGTGGATATCAGGAGACGCGGTAGCGGCTCCCGCCAAGTATATTTTTTTCATTACATACAGAGATGCTACAGTGTATCCTTTACCGGACGGATAACGTTTCTGTAGGAATAAATTATCATATCTTTTAATTATATGAATATTATCGGTAAATGCCTATTTTGTGAAAAAATCTATATTTTTCCAATCACAATGCTGTAATAGCGATGTATAATCCATAAGTGCATTTGATGCATAAGCGCATAAAGTGTATGCATTTTCTTGTCCGATTTTATGTCATTCAGATACGTCGTCGTCGTCGTCGTCGTCGTCGTCGTTGTCGTCGTCATCGTCGTCGTCGTCTTCATCGCAAAATTTCAATCTTGTCCCCTTTCGTCTATAACACGGGTCAACACAAAATTTGACTTTGACATTAAAGTATGAAATTTCGATAAATTAGATCATAGATGAAGACGAAAAAAAATTATATGGCCTGAAAAAGTTTGCTTTTGTATCCAGGAGAACGTTTGAACGATATTTTTAAAAATTTGTGATTTTAATCTTTATTTTATAATAAAACGATACAAATATAAATGTACATTATTTTTATTAATTTTTATTATCAAATTAGCTTACAAAAAAGTGGAAAATAATTCAAAAATGCACGGTATTACTTTTTCTTTTATGTTCATAAGTACTTTCCCTCAA